AGATTAAATAAGGCATTAATAAATAATGAAGAGGTAACTGAAAATAAGAAAGGAATCAAAAGATTACTAGAAACAAATGACAATGAAAACATGACAACCCAAAACCTATGGGATTCAGCAAAAGCAGTTCTAAGAGGGAAGTTTATAGTGATACAATCACACCTCAAGAAACAACAAAAGCACTGAATAGACAACCTAACTCTACTTCTAAAGCAGCTGGAAAGAGAAAAACAAAAAACGACCAAAGTCAACAGAAGGAAAGGGATTGTAAAAATCTGAGCAGAAATAAAGGAAACAATAGCAAAGATCAATAAAACTAAGAGCTGGTTCTTTGAGAAGATAAACAAAACTGACAAACCACTAGCTAAACTCATCAAGCCAAAGAGGGAAAAAAACCAAATCAACAAAATTAGAAATGAAAAAGGAGAGGTTACAACAGATAACATAGAAATACAAAGAATCCTAAGAGAATATTATGAGTAACTATATGCTAATAAAATGGACAACCTAGATGAAGTGGACAGATTCTTAGGAAAGGTCAATCTCCCAGGACTGAACCAGGAATAAATAGAAATTATAAACAACACAGTTACAAACACTGAAATCGAAACAGTGATCAAAAATCTCCCAAAAACCAGATGGCTTCACAGGGGAATTCTACCAAACATTTAGAGAAGAGCTAATGCGTATTTTTCTGAAACTCTTAAAAAAAAAATTGCAGAGGAAGGAACATTTCCAAATTCATTCAACAAGATCACAATCATCCTGATAACAAAACCAGGCAAAGACAACATGAAAAAAGAAAATTACAGGCCAATATCACTGATGAACATAGATGCAAAAATCCTCAACAAAATTCAAGCAAACAGAATTCAACAACACATTAAAAAGCTCATATACTATGATCAAGTTGGGTTTATTCCAGGGATGCAAGGATTCTTCAGTATACACAAATCAATCATGATACACCATATTAACAAACTGAAAGATAAAAACCATATGATCATCTCAATAGATGCAGAAAAAGGCTTCAACAAAATTCAGCATCCATTTATGATAAAAACGCTTCAAAAAATGGACATAGAAGGACCCTACCTAAACATAACAAAGGCCATATAAGAAAAGCTCATAGCAAACATTATTCTCAATGGTGAAAAAGTAAAACCATTCCCTCTAAGATCAGGAACAAAACAAGGGGGTCCACTCCCACCACTATTATTCAACATCATTTTGTAAGTCATAGCTATGGCAATCAGAGAAGAAAAAGAAATAAAAGGAGTACAGACTGGAAAAGAAGTAGTAAAACTCTCACTGTTTAGAGATGACTTGATACTATACATAGAAAACCCAAAAGAAACTGCTTAAAATCAGAAAATTGCTAGAGCTAATCAGTGAATTCAGCAAAGTCATGGGATACAAGGTCAAAACACAGAAATTACTTCCATTCCTATACACTAACAATGAAAAATCAGAAAGAGAAATTAAGATGTCAATCTCATTCACCATTACAACAAAAATAATAAAATATTTAGGAATAAATCTATGTAAGGAGACAATACCTGTATACAGAAAATTATGACACTGCTGAAGAAATCAAAGACACCGTAACAGATGAAGAGATATTCCATGCTCCTGCGTAGGAAGAATCAATATTGTGAAAATGACTATACTACTAAATGAAATCTACAGATGCAACACGGTCCCCCCGTCAAATTACCAATGGCATTTTTCACAGAACTAGAACAAAAAATTTCACAATTCATATGGAAACACAAGAGACCCCGAATAGCCACAGCAGTCCTGAGAAAGAAGAGTGGAGCTGGAGGAGGCAAGCTTCCCGACTTCAGGTCACATGACAGAGCGACAGTCACCAAGACAGCGCGGGAAAGGCACAGAAACAGAAACACAGACCAATGGAACAAGACGGAGAGACCAGAGATTAACCCACACAGCCATGGGTACCTTCTTTTTGACAAAGGAGACAAGAATATACTATGGGGCAAAGAGAGCCTCTTGAACAAGTGGTGCTAGGAAAACTGGACAGCTATGTGCAAATGAATGAAAAAGTAGAAAACTACCTGATGCCATACACAAAGATAAACTCAAAATGGCTTAAAGACCTAAACGTAAGACCAGAAACTGTAAAACTCTTAGAGGAAAACATAGGTAAAACACTCGATGACATAAATCAAAGCAAGGTCTTCGTGACCCACCGCCTAGAGCAGCGCAGTGCAAGTCGCTCAGTGCGTCCCACTCTTTGCAACCCCATGGCCCATACAGTCCATGGAATTCTCCAGGCCAGAATACTGGAGTGGGTAGCCTTTCCCTTCTCCAGGGGAGCTTCCCAACCCAGGGATCAAACCCAGGTCTCCCACATTGCAAGTGGACTCTTTACGAGCCACAGGGGAAGCCCCACCTCCTAGAGTAATGGAAATAAAAACAAAAATAACAAGTAGGACCTAATTAAACTTGAAAGCTTTTGCAGAGCAAAGGAAACTATAAGCAAGGTGAAAAGACAACCCTCAGAATGAGAGAAAATAATAGCAAAGGGAAAAACTCACAAAGAATTAATTTCCAAATTATACAAGCAGCTCATACAATTCAATACCAGAAAAACAAACAACCCAATCAAAAAGTGCAAAAGGGAGTTGAAGAGACATTTCTCCAAAGACAACATAAAGATGGCTAACAAGCACATGAAAAGATGCTCAACATCACTCATTATTAGAGACATGCAAATCAAAACTATGAGATACCACCTCAGACCAGTCAGAATGGCCATCATCAAAAAGTCTACAAATAATAAATGCTGGAGTGTGGAGAAAAGGGAACACTCTTGCATTGCTGGTGGGAATGTAAACTGATACAGCCACTATGGAAGACGGTATGAAGATTCCTTAAAAAGCTAGGAATAAAACTACCATATGACCCAGCAACCCCACTCCTAGGCATCCAACCTGGGGAAACCAAAACTGAAAAAGACACATGTAACCCAATGTTCACTGCAGCACTATTTACAGTAGCTAGAACATGGAAGCAACCTAGATGTCCATTGACAGATGAATGGATAAAAGTTGCGGTACATATACAATAGAATACTACTCAGCCATTAAAAAGGAACACATCTGAGTCAGTTCTAATGAGGTAGATGAACCTAGAGCCTATTATACAGAGTGCAGTTAAGTCAGAAAGAGAAATATACATATCGTATACTGACACATATATTTGAAATCTAAAAAGATGGCACTGATGAATTTATTTTCAGGGCAGCAATGGAGAAACAGACACAGAGAACAGACCTATGGACATGGGGGGACGGAAGGAGGGAGAAGGGGAGATGTATGGAGAGTAACATGGAAATTTAAAATACCATCTGTAAAATAGACAGCTAATGGGAATCTGCTGTATGGCTCAGGGAACCCAAACAGGGGCTCTGTGACGAGCTGGGATGTGAAAGGCAGGATGTGGAGGGAGACAGGAGGGAGGCTCGGCAGGGAGGGGACATGGGTGTACCTATGGCTGGTTCTTGCTGAGGTTATGACAAAAAAAATTCTGTAAAGTAACTTTCTTTCAATTAAAAAATTTAAAAAAAAAAGAAAGAAAGAAACTAATAATAGCATTACCATATGATCTACAAACCCACTCCTAGGCATGGATCTGGAGAAAACCGTAATTCAAAAAGATACATGCAACTCAACGTTCATTGCAGCACTACTAACTATAGCAAGACATGAAAGTAAACTAAATGTCCATCCACAGATGAATGGATAACAAAGGTGTGGTAATTACATACGTACACACACAAACACACATACTCACAATGGAGTATTACTCAGCCATAAAAAAGAATGAAATTATGGCATTTGCAGCAACATGGATGGATTTAGAGATTAGCATACTTAGTGATATAAGCCAGACAGAGAAAAACAAATATCATATGATATCCCTTATTGTGGAACCTACAGAAAAAATAAAAAAGATACAAATAGGAGATGGAGGTAAATTAGGAGTTTGGGATTAACATATACACATTACTATAAATGAAACAGACAACCAATAAAGACCTTCTATACTGCACAGGGAACTATATTGAGTATTTTGTAATAACCTGTAAGAGAAAAGAACTTGAAGAAGAATGTGTGTGTGTGTGTAACTGATTCAGTTTGCCATACACCTAAAACTAACACAACATTGTAAGTCAACTATACTTCAATTTTAAAAAGTGATACAAAAAAGCACAAGTTGATCTTTCCCTCATGATACTGTCACCATTATAAACCTCTATCACCATGCAGAGAGATGGCATAAGAAAGAGGTTGTATTTCAGGTCTCCCTGGGCAATTGGAGTTTATGCTCACAGTCATGACATCCTCTCCCATTTTCATGTGTCCCAGTTTGAAAAATAAATGATATACTGTCCCAAAATAGACAGTTTTTTGAGTTACTAGTTAGTTGATTATTCTCTGTGCTTCCAATATCATCCTGTGGATGTATGTATATTTATCTGTTGGTCTACAGACATTAACAGATGGATCTTTTTTAATGATGAAAATTATTTAATAGCAATCTTTGTAAATTCAGAGCCTAATACAGTCTGACATTCAATAATTTTTAGATAAATGAGTAAATAATTGAACAGAGGAGTATTAATTTTTATCTGCAAGAACTAGACCAACTAGCTGATTTCTTATCCAAATTTATATTTTAATAAGCCTCAAGAATATATGATGCTGTCATACTTGTGTTCTGGTAACTACCTGGTTTACTAAGCATTTGCCTTTTACTTCTCCCTTTCCATATGCTGTAATCTTAGAAGCTACCCAAAATCAAGAGACCTGGAGCTGAAGTACAATGTAAAATAAAGAGACTCTAGAAAAGAGCTTGCAGGCTTTCAAGGCTTTGTGCAGATTAAATGCCTACTTCCCAACGCTAGATAGGAATATTATAAAAAGCAAAGTGTTAGATTAATATTCACAGTTACATTTAATATAAACACTTACCCACAGAGAGCAACTGATTTTTGGAAATGCTAATGCTTATCTCTTCACCCTCTTCCATATTTTTGTCTGAATTTCTTTGTAACTTGTCTTGGACGGTATGTGATATATTTTTAACTTTAGATTGCATCACATCAACTTCTTCTCTGGGTACACTGGCCTTAGATTTTGTTCTCTGTTTTGGTTTTATAGTCCTTTTGGCTCCAGATGCTTTTTCTGCATTCTCAGAATGTATTTCATATTTTGTAGATTTACAATTATTTTCTACTTCATCTGTCAAAGCACAACTCCCACCCAGCATGTTTTGTTCAGAGGGTTGAGATTTCTCTACTGGGTGAGTTTTGCCAGGATGCTTGTTACTTGTCAAAGCCATAGATGATACATTGTCATGTTTTCCTCTTGACTTCTTCTTTTGAAGGACAGTGCTCTCAGCAGGGGATGCTGTGTGCTGCTTCTGAGGCCCAGTCTTTCTTGGTATAGTAATCCAAGGTTGACTGACAAAACTTTTATCTGATTCATCAATTATAAACTCATCTTCCAATAACTTCAAATTATTTGCAGGAGATAAATGAGGTGGAACAGTTGCTATATGCCTAACAACAGAACTAAAACAGAATGTTACAATAAATAATAGCTCAAAAAAGTAAAGTTTATATCTTTGCTTTAAAGAGCAGTTGACATGTCTCTTCAATTTTTTCTTACACTTTAAAATCTTTCCCTCCTTTTACATTTCTATAATATCTGAGCATACTCATTTATAATATTGATGCGATCACAAAAATTTAAAGCTGGAAGCATCTATACAGACTTCATCAACTAATTTCAGGTTACCCATTCATTAGAAATATTAAACAGATGAAACCCAGAGGTGTATTAAATACTGCTCAGATATACTCACTCACAGTATAAAAATGCATGCCATTATTATAATGTTAAATTTTGTTTTTATAGATGTCTCATGGGCATGAATTTCTTAACATCCAAAACAAGATTATTTTTGAGACATCTTCCAGTTTAACAATTTAAGAAAACACTACTAAATTACTAAATTATAATTATATAAAAATTCATCTCAAGTTTGAAAATTCACATTTTTGTATGTGTTTAATCTGATAGAATAATTTTGCATTTCCTTCCTCTTTATGACAACAGCCATGAACAAACCATATCCTAGAGTGAAACATGCAAAAATAAATAGGGCAAACATTCAAATTCTGAAGGCAGTGCATGTACCCCTTTTTCTGCCTTTTTCACATGAGTAAGGATGCTTACGGAGAAGGCAATGGCACCCCACTCTAGTATCCTAGCCTGGAAAATCCCATGGACAGAGGAGCCTGGTAGGCTACAGTCCATGGGGTCACGAAGAGTCGGACACGACTGAGCGACTTCACTTTCACTTTTCACTTTCATACACTGGAGAAGGAAATGGCAGCCCACTCCAGTATTCTTGCCTGGAGAATCCCAGGGACAGGAACCTGGTGGGCTGCCATCTATGGGGTCACATAGAGTTGGACACAACTGACGTGACTTAGCAGCAAGAATGCTTAACTACTTTTTACACAGTAGAAGAAAAGCTAGGATGGAAAAATTGGATTATCATGTCTCTATTTTTTCCCTTCATAAAAAGATTATGAAAAAAAAAAAGATGATATGAAAATGCCTTCTATACTTCTCTAATCTCAAACACCTCATAAATCTTCCGATATAAAAAACATATACATATATATGCTAAGAAATATATCTTAATAGGCAGTCTTACAAGTTTATATAGTTTATAAACTATAAACTATAGTTTATAAAGTTTATAGTTTTAGAAAAACCTAGAAAATCTAATAAAAAAAGTATAAATAGAAGACTATATAATATATAAATAGAAGATCACATTTAAACAGAAATATTATTTTTCAGCACTATTAGCCAATCTGATAGAAATATGTTTAACTTGCTTTATTGTGTATTATCTGTAGGGCTTCCCAGGTGGTTCAGTGGTAGACTCAGCCTGCCAATGCAGGAGAGGGTATGGAGAGAAGGAAATGGCAATCCACTCCAGCATTCCTGCCAGAGAAATTATGTGGACAAAGGAGTCTGGTGGGCTATATATAGTCTCTGGGGTTGCAAAAGAGTTGGACACAACTTAGGGACTAAAGAACAACAAATATACCTGCAATATCTATTAATTCCACACATTAAAGAAGTAATCCGAGGGACTTCCTGGAGGTCCAGTGATTAGAACTCTGCACTCCCACTGCAGGGGACATGGGTTCAATCCCTGGACAGGGAACTAGGATCCCACATACCAGGCAGCCAGAAAAACAAAAAATAATGCTATGTATTTAAAAATAAAAGTTTTCCCAAACCAGCCAATAAGAACTTTCTATATCCCTCCTTTATTCTATTTCAAGAGACTTTCATGACTTTAAGGTTATTCAAACCAAAGATATCCTTCGGAAACAACCTTGACACTTACTACAGATCAAATGTTTATATCCCTCTGAAATTAATTAATTAAAACCTAATCCCCAATATGATGGTATTTTAGGGTGGGGTCTTTAGGTAGTAATTAGGTAATGAGGGTGCAATGGCTCATGAATGGAATTAGCACCTTTATAAGAGAAACCCCAGAAAACTCCCTCACTACCGTTTACCATTTGAGGTTATAGCAATAAGATAGCCATCATGAACCAGGAAGCAGGTCTCACCAGACACTGAATCTACTTGAGCCTTGGCTTGACCTTGGACTTCTCAGCCTCTAGCATTGTGAAATAAATTTCTGTTGCTTACAAGCCATCCAGACTATGCTGGTCTATTTAGCAGCCCAAATTAAAAATACAATTTTAATTAAATATTAAAATTCAGAATACAGAAAGATGACTTCTGGCTCAGTAGAAAAATGCCACTTGAGTTGGATCTTGAAGAACAGATATGATTTGGCCATGAGAACATGCAAGAAAGAATCAGAAGGAAAAGCATAAGCAAAACAAAGAAGGAAGCAAACATGAGAAATAATGAACAGTTATATCTGGTTATAGCAATTAAACAAACTATACTCACTAGTTTATCCAAAAAAACTGACACATTAAAAAATAATTACTCCTTTGGACACACATATAATTAGTCCATAAATGTAACATATTTGTATCAGATACCAGTACTCTTGCCTAGAAAATCCCATGGACGGAGGAGGAGCCTGGTGGGCTGCAGAACAAGGGATCTAGATATCCTTCGGAAACAACCTTGACACTTACTACAGATCAAATGTTTATATCCCTCTGAAATTAATAAATTAAAACCTAATCCCCAATATGATGGTATTTTAGGGTGGGGTCTTTAGGTAGTAATTAGGTAATGAGGGTGCAATGGCTCATGAATGGAATTAGCACCTTTATAAGAGAAACCCCAGAAAACTCCCTCACTACCTTTTACCATTTGAGGTTATAGCAATAAGATAGCCATCATGAACCAGGAAGCAGGTCTCACCAGACACTGAATCTACTTGAGCCTTGGCTTGACCTTGGACTTCTCAGCCTCTAGCATTGTGAAATAAATTTCTGTTGCTTACAAGCCATCCAGACTATGCTGGTCTATTTAGCAGCCCAAATTAAAAATACAATTTTAATTAAATATTAAAATTCAGAATACAGAAAGATGACTTCTGGCTCAGTAGAAAAATGCCACTTGAGTTGGATCTTGAAGAACAGATATGATTTGGCCATGAGAACATGCAAGAAAGAATCAGAAGGAAAAGCATAAGCAAAACAAAGAAGGAAGCAAACATGAGAAATAATGAACAGTTATATCTGGTTATAGCAATTAAACAAACTATACTCACTAGTTTATCCAAAAAAACTGACACATTAAAAAATAATTACTCCTTTGGACACACATATAATTAGTCCATAAATGTAACATATTTGTATCAGATACCAGTACTCTTGCCTAGAAAATCCCATGGACGGAGGAGGAGCCTGGTGGGCTGCAGAACAAGGGATCGCGAAGAGTTGGACACGACTGAGTGACTTCACTTTCACTTTTCACTTTCCTGCATTGGAGAAAGAAACGGCAACCTACTCCAGTGTTCTTGCCTGGAGAATCCCAGAGACAGGGGAGCCTGGTGGGCTGCCGTCTATGGGGTCGCACAGAGTCAGACAGGACTGAAGCGATGCAGCAGCAGCAGCAGCAGCAGCAGCAGCAGCAGGGACAACATGCATACAGGGGTAAAAATGCCATATGTACCTATGTGTACACACACACACACACACACACACACACACACACACACAGAAAGAGAAGGAGAGATGGGAGAGAAGGAGCAAGACTATGGAGGTGGAGGGAGGGAGGAGCCAACTATGGAACAGAGACTGAACCAAAGAGGAATTTCATTCATTCAATGTTTTTATAAAACCTTCCTAATAGATTTGCGAGCACTCTGACAGATCTCATAGAAAATACAAAAGAAACTACACTCCCAGAAAGATGGGTTTATGTCATAATCTACTAAGACAGACATAAAATAGTTAAACCATAATACAAGGTAAGAAATTATTTTAAAACACACTGGAGTGAAACTTTCAGAAGAAAATATAAATTGGCATATGACAAGGGGAAAGAGTGTGCCAAAGTCAGGACAACTGCAAATACATGCGACAGAAACAGTTCACGAGTGAGAGTGAAGGCCTTAAATACCAGCTATAAAGTGAAAGTGAAAGTGACAGTCACTCAGTCGTGTAGACTCCCTGCGACTCCATGGACCGTAGCTCGCCAGGCTCTTCTGTCCATGGAATTCTCCAGGGAACAATACTGGAGTGGGCTGCCATTCCCTTCTCCAGGGGATCTTCCAGATTCAGCGACTGAACCCGAGTTTCTGCACTGCAAAGCAAATTCTTTACTGTCTGAGCCACCAGGGAAGCCCCAAACACCAGCTGACAACTCTGACACTTATTCCGTAAGCCAGTGGCTCTCAGCCCTAGCTGCTGTTCACTCCAGTTAACTCTACGTGCAGCCAGTTAAAAATCACTATGTGGACACCGTGGAACTACTGAAGGCTTTTAAGTAGGCAAGAACGGATTAAAATTTATTTTAGGACTACCATTTTACTAACACAATCAAAAGAAATAGAAAAAAATATTTAAAACACTTAACAATGACACATAGGCACCTTGACAATTTTACTTCTAAATACTGCCTTTATTTTTTGATATCTTATATACTAGAAAGTGTTGATGAACAGAAGTAATAAAAGCTGAAGAAACTTATTTTCTTTCACATTTAATTTAGAATCCATTAAATGATGGCTTTGGGGTTAGTTTATTGGTAAGAAACTCACTCTCCTTATGGGTTAAACATAATTTCAATTAAAAATTATGTCAATTAAGATTAACTTCTAGTTAAATGTCATTAAGAATCCTTAGGTACTATTCAAAGAATGTGAAAGAAAAATCTGGACCATTCTTAATAACTTACCTGGATTCACTTTTTCTTTTCACAGTTTCTAAAAACAATGTTGAAAAACTCTTCCTAGCTCGCGGTTGATTTTCATATCCTGAATCTTGTATTCTTTCTTGAGATGTTTCTGACTGTCTCCTTTCTTGCGGTCCTTCTGATACTTTATCCTCTATTTCTGATACTTCATTCATTATTTCTACTTTCTTCAAAACATCTTTATCTTCAAAGTTTAACCTAAAAGGTTAGAAGGACGACAAGCTGAATGTTTCCACCATCTGCTGAGTTATAAGTTTTCTTGAACTTCCCTACAGTGATAATATAACCACTTACAAAATTTTCCAATGGGCCTTTATTTAAACTTTATAAATGCTGATGTGTTTCTCTCACACAAATTACACAAGACAAATTGTTCAGAAAAATTAAATTTTGTATTTGCTGACAGAAAAAAAATAAAAGAGAAAAAGGATGGTTAAATCATATAACAAGTCAAATTGTAGTTTAAAATACTAGTTCTCAAACATTTCATATGAATCTGAATCCTCTGAGGAATCTTATTAAAATGTAGATTTTGATTCAATAGGTCTAGGATAGCGTTTGAGATTACGTATTTCTAACAGGCTTTCAGATAATATCATTTCTCTCGATCCTGAGCTGCAGAACACACTTTGGACTGCAAAATCTTAGAGTGTACTTAACTCCTCAGCTCCAAGAATCAAAGAGGAAAGACCCTATACAGATATTATACTTACGGCAGAGGTTTTCCAATAGCAAAGGACCTTGAACAATCAATTTTGCTTCTAAGGCCAAAGGAAAAGAAAGCCCCAGGAAATGGATGTGGGTTCACCACAATTATCTTCAACAATACTTATTCTTTGCTACCCCTCAAAGTGACCTGATACATACCTACCCTGGTAATTAAAAATAACATATGGAAAATACAAATTATTTTTCTTAGGAAGCTAGAGAAAATGTATTATGAGAAAAAAAAATATCCTGTGATAAACCATAATGAAAAAGAATATGAAAAAGATTGTGTGTGTATATATATACATATATATGCATAACTGAGTCAATTTGCTATACAGCAGTAATTAATACATTTTAATTCAACTATATGACACTCAAAAATGTTTTTAAAAAGTATCTGAGTATAACAAAATATTCACATATGTCAAATATGAGTGCCTACTGTATTATCTTCTACATGTCAATTTTTTTTTTAGATCTTAAAGAAAAAAATTATGCTTTTCCATAGACCATAGAAAAGTTTACCCCTAAACTTTTCAGAAGTACACTTTAAGGCCTTCCATAGTAAATATAAATTGAATATATACCCAATGTATGTCTACTTTTCTCATAACATGTAAATATTCAATACTTATTATAAAATACACGAGACCAAATTACCCATTTTTTTAAATAAAAAATGAAGTTGTTACGGAAAGATAAATATTTCATAAATAAATAAAACTTCACCTTTTTCTGGTTTTATGAGAAATCTCTGTACTTGAAGATAGCATATTTACTGAATTGTCGGAAGTGTAGGTCTCTCTCTTTTGGGCAACAGATGGACTACCCTTTTGCAATGAAGATGCTTTTATATCCAGGTCAAAAGGTGAGCCAATAGATAAGTAACACTCCTCATCAGCTTTACTGTGATTATCTTTTAGTTTTTTACTTGACATCTTTCTCAAGTCAGATGTATTTTTAGAACGAACATCAGTTGCCAAAATTTTCTGATGAACCTCATGGTCCTGAACTAGAAAAAAAATTATATGAAGATATTAGAAACTCTTTAAATAATATTAGAACAAAAAAAAATGTGCTTTCTGAAGTTCAGCAACAATTAGAAAGTTTTCAGAAGACTCACAAATCTTCAAGTTTATAATCAAAGATCTAGGAATAAAATATACAAGTACTTTAAAAATTCTAATTTATGAAATTAATAAACTGAAAGATGTATTTGGTCCATGTTCCACAGTTCTGAAATGAGTAAAAGCTTCAAACATAGAAAATTCAGTTTTATTAATACATAAAATTTATTCAAGATTTGAATATAGTCAAACTCATAGAAGAAGACATTAGAAAAGTGGATGCCAGGGACTGCGAGGAGGGAGAAATTCAGAGTTGCTGATTAACAGATGCAAAGTTTCAATTGTACAAGATAAATAAATTAGAAGTCTAGTGTACAACATTGCGGAGAAGAAAATGGCAACCCACTCCAGTACTCTTGCCTGGAAAATTCCATGGACAGAGGAGACTTGGTGGGCTGCAGAACATGGGGTCACTACAAGTCGGACGCGACTGAGAGACTTCACTTTCACTTTTCACTTTCCTGCATTGGAGAAGGAAATGCCAACCCACTCCAGTGTTCTTGCCTAGAGAATCCCAGGGACGGGGGAGCCTGGTGGGCTGCCATCTATGGGGTGGCACAGAGTTGGACACGACTGAAGCAATGCAGCAGCAGCAGCAGCAGTACAACTTTGTGTCTATAGGTAACAATACTCTACTATACACTTAAAAATCTGTTGAGAAAGATCTCACTTAAAATATTTTGATCACAACAAAATAAAAAATGTTTTAAAGATTTGAATAAATCTATACATGAGAAACGCTGGGCTGGAAGAAGCACAAACTGGAATCAAGGTTGCTGGGAGAAATATCAACAACCTCAGATATGAGGACGACACCACCCTTATGGCAGAAAGGGAAGAGGAACTAAAGAGCCTCTTGATGAAAGTGAAAGAGGAGAGTGAAAAAGTTGGCTTAAAGCCCAACATTCAGAAAACTAAGATCATGGAACCTGGTCCCATAACTTCACAGCAAATAGATGGGGAAACAGTGGAAACAGTGTCAGACTTTATTTTTTGGGGCTCCAAAATCACTGCAGATGGTGATTGCAGCCATGAAATTAAAAGACGCTTACTCCTTGGAAGGAAAGTTATGGCCAACCTAGATAGCATATTAAAAAGCAGAGACATTACTTTGCCAACAAAGGTCCGTCTAGTCAAGGCTATGGTTTTTCTAGTATGGTATGGTATGGGTGTGACAGTGGACTATAAAGACAGCTGAGCACCAAAGAATTGATGGTTTTGAACTGTGTGGTGTTGGCGAAGACTCTTGAGAGTCCCTTGGACTGAAAAGAGATCCAACCAGTCCAACCTAAAGGAGATCAGTCCTGGGTGTTCTTTGGAAGGACTGATGCTGAGGCTGAAACTCCAATACTTTGGCCACCTCAAGCAAAGAGTTGACTCATTGGAGAAGACCCTGATGCTGGGAGGGATTAGGGGCAGGAGGAGAAGGGAACGACAGAGGATGAGATGGCTGGATGGCATCACCGACTCAATGGACATGAGTCTGAGTAAACTCTGGGAGTTGGTGATGGACAGGGAGGTCTGGCATGCTGTGATTCATGGGGTTGCAAAGAGTTGGACATGACTGAGCAAGTGAACTGAATGATACATAGTTAAGGGCTTCCCAGGTGACTCGGTGGTAATGAATTTGCCTGCCGCAAGAGACCTGGGTTTGACCCCTGGGTCAGGAAGATGCCCTGGAGAAGGAAATGGCAGCCCACTCCAGTATACTTGCCTAGGAAACCCCATGGATAGAGCAGTCTGGTGAATGGAGTTGCAAGAGTCAGACACTACTTAGTGCCTAAACAACAACATACATAGCTAAAATAAGTAATAGGTAATCCTAGAGAAATTATGAGATTCAATCTTTAGGTAGAGTCGAGTAAACTAGGGCAGCTAGATGAGCACACTTTTGCACATATACATACATATGTACATACTGAACAGATATAGATAGATATACAATATACATGTCTATATAGAGAGAATATTAATATGTATGTATGTATTTAAAGAGAAGACACTTTGGACTTCAAAATATAAGAATGTATAAATTTAAATAAATAAATCTAAGAATATACTTAACCAGTGGGAGATGTTATCTCATTATAGCTTTGATTTGCTGTAATAGTAATAATCTCTCATAATGAGCGATGTTAAGCATCTTTTCACGTGTTTATTAGCTATCTGCATGTCTTTTTGGAGAAATATCTGTTTAGGTCTTTTTCCCACTTTTTGATTGGATTTGTTTGTTTTTCTGGTATTGATTTATAAGAGCTACTTGTACATTTTGGAAATTAATTCTTTGTCAGTTGTTTCATTTGTTATTATTTTCTCCCATTCTGAGGGTCGTCTTTTCACCTTGTTTACAGTTTCCTTTGCTGTGCAAAGCTGTTAAGTTCTTAATTAGGTCCCACTTGTTTTTGTTTTTATTTCCTTTACTCTAGGAAGTGGATCATAGAGGATCCTGCTTTACATCATCGAGTGTTCTGCCTATGTTTTCCTCTAAGTTTTATAGTTTCCTCTCTTACATTTAGGTCCTTAATCCATTTTGAGTTTATCTTTGTGTATGGCATCAGGTACGTCCGACTCTTTTGCAACCCCATGGGCTATAATACAGTCCATGGAATTCTCCAGGCCAGAATACTGTAGTGGGAAGCCTTTCCCTTTTCCAGGAGATCTTCCCAACCCAGGGATCAAACACAGGTCTCCTGCACTGCAGGTGGACTCCTTACCAGCTGAGCCACCAGGGAAGCCCACACGGTGCGATAAGTGCTCTAACTTCACTCTTTTACACATGCTGTCCAGTTCTCCCAGGACCACTTACTGAGGAGGTTATCTTTGCCCCATTGTATATTCTTGCCTTCTTTGTCAAAAAGAAGGTACCCATAGGTGTGTGGGTTTATTTCTGGGCTTTCTATCTTGTTCCGTTGGTCTATATTTCTGATTTTGTGCCTGCACCATACTGTTTTGATGACTGTAGCTTTGTAGGATAATCTGAAGTCAGGAAGCTTGCCTCCTCCAGCTCCATTCTTTTCTCTGGACTGCTTTAGCTATTCAGGGTCTTTTCTGTTTCCATATGAGTTGTGAAATTTTTTGTTTTAGTTCTATGAAAAATGCCATTGGTAATTTGATAGGTATTACACTGAATCTGTAGATTGCATTTGGGTGTACAGTTGTTTTCACAATATTGATTCTTCTTACCCAGGAACATGGAGTATCTCTCTGTTTATGTCATCTGATTTCTTCATCAGTGTCTTAAAATTTTCTGTATACAGTTCTTTTGCTTCCTTAGGTAGGTTTATTCCTAGATATTTTATTATTTTTGTTGCAATGGTGAATGGGATTTATTCCTTAATTTCTCAGATTTTTCATCATTAGTATATAGGAATGCAAGTGATTTCTGTGTATTGATTTTGTATCCCACAATTTTGCTGAGTTCACTGATTAGCTCTAGTAATTTTCTGACTATCTTTAGGGTTTTCTGTGTATAGATTCATGTCATCCACAAACAGCAGGAGCTTTACTTCTTCTTTTCCGAAATGGACTCCTTTTATTTCCTTTTCTTCTCTGATTGCCATAGCTATGACTTCCAAAACTATGTTGAAAAACAGTGGTGAGAGTGGACACCCTTGTCTTGTTCCTGATCATAGAAGAAATGCTTTCAGTTTTTCACCATTGAGAATGTTTGCTGTGGGCTTATCATATATGTATGGCCTTTACTATGTTGAGGTAGGTTCCTTCTATGCCCATTTTTTTAAGAGTTTTAATCATAAATGGGTGATGAATTCTGTCATAGGCTTTTTCTGCATCTATTGAGAGGATCATGTCATTTTTATCTTCAATTTGTTAATATGGTGTATGACATTGATTGATTTCATATAATGAAGAATCCTTGCATCCCTGGAATAAACCCAACTTGATCATTGTATATGAGCTTTTTAATGTGTTATTGAATTCTGCTTGCTAGAATTTTGTTGAGGATTCTTGTATCTATGTTCATCAGTGATACTAGCTTGAAGGACATAAATGTATAAGATATATATTTATATGTAGAAAAGCAAAATGATACAAAAATAAGAATTTCCACAAAATTCCTATACAAATCAATCCAACTTTAGTGAAAATCATAACAAAATTTTACTGGAAACAATAAATAAAATTCATAGAAAGTAAAAACTTCTAAGAGTGGCAGAACAGTGACTATAAACACTTTTATATCACCATATTGCTATAAAAATACTATTAGTAAAACAGTATTGTGTTGACATTAAGAAGAAACAAACGGACCAAAATTCAAAAGTACATTGAGGGACCTCCGTGGTGGTACAGTGGATAAGAATCCATCTGCCAATGCAGGGGACACAACCACATGCCATGGAGCAATTAAGCCTGTGCACAATTTCCGAGCGTGGGCACTGCAAGTACTGAAGCCCAGGAACCCTAGAGCCCGTGTGCCGTGCGCTGCACCAGAGAAGACACTGCAAGGAGCAGTCTGCACACCACGATGCAGAATGGCCCTCACTCATTACAACTAAAGAAAGCATGCACCCAGGAACGAAGACCCAGCATAGCCAAAAATGAATTACTTTTTTTAAAGCTTATTGAATGATATATGATAAAAGTAGCCCATTGAGATGAGAATGGATCAAGTAACTAATGAACGCACCTAGCACAAATGACCATCGTGAAGAAAGTAATTAATAAAATTATAACATTATGTCACATTATATACCAAAACACATTCCAGATGGATTAAAAATTTTAATTAAGAAGAAAGACACTAAAATGAAAATCTAAGTATTACATATACTTTCAGGATAAAACAAATCTTTTAACCAAAAAAGGAAACAGGAAAAAAAAATCCGACATTTGACAAGTCAAATAAAAAATGTTACCTATCATATAAGATACTATAACCAAAATCCGTACTAGTCAAGGGATCATTTGAAAAAATACCTGTCACACATATTACAGACATTTAATTACATATATTCAATTAAAGATCTCTCATAAACTAGAAGAAACAAATGGGCAAAGCATATGGACAAACAACTAAGATAAAAAGAAATTCAAATAGCCAGTAAACTTATAAAAAGGTGTTCAAACTCAGTGGCAATCACAGAAATACAGTAAGGTAACAGATTACTTAATACTGATCAAACTGGCAAAAAAGTAGAATAAAAGTGTATCAGGTGAAAGGTATATTCTTACATTACTGGTAAAAAGCAAATTGTGAAAGTCTCTTTCCCAAGTGTGCGTACACATGCACACATAAACACACACATTTATATACATATATAAGTATAATAAATATGTTATAAATACATATATAAATGAATACATATTCACTAAGGAGCACCAACAAAGATATGAAAGGATTCAAGGTTACCTCAGCAGGATGAGGGAAATAAGGATTAGTAGTTTCTTGTTTTAAATCTTTGACTCTTACCTCAAATGAAGAACTTTTCTGATTTGAAAAATATAAATAAAACTTTAAAAAGCAGCACCACATATAACTGACTAAAAGAAATGGAACAAAAGGAGAAAAGAGAAAAATACTGACCACGTATAGTCAAACAGCAAATCATTATGGTGTATTCCTGAAACTAATACTATATAAATTATCCCTCAGTCTTAAAAAAAAACTCAATAAGTCCGTGGAGAGGCCCACATGGGAGAAAAGAAAGTAAGGCTTCCTGCCAGCAACCAGCCCCACATGAGTCATCTTGGAAATAAATCCTTAGCTCCAGTCAAGTCTTCAGATGACTGCAACCTCAAGCGAGTACCATCTAACTAAGCTGCTTCTGAATTCCAGACCCACGGAAACTGTGCAGATAATAAACATTAAAAGAAAAGAAGAAGAAAAAAAGGACAGGAAAGGACAAAGAGAAATCTATTTTAAAACTCTTAAAGCTGTGGTCCCTATAATAATTCTTAATGTCTCTTGCCACATTCCTAGTAAGCAGTGTTCCTACAACTAAAACAAAGAAACAGAAAATAATCAGATAAAACCATTGTTCTGCAAATCAAAGCAACAATGTACCTACCAACTCACACCAGTCAGAATGACCATGACTAAAAAGTCTACAAATAATTAATGCTGGAGGTGGTGTGGAGAAAAGGGAACCCTCTTACACTGTTGGTGGGAATGTAAACTGGTATAGCCACTATGGAACACAGTACAGCTTCCTCAAAAAATTAAAAACAGAAGTGCCACAAGATCCAGCAATCTGACTCCTGAGCATATACCCAGACAAAACAATAATTTAAAACGATACATGGGCCCCTATGTTCATAGTGGCACTATTTACAACAGCCAAGACATGGAAACAACTTAAATACCCATCGACAGATGAATGCATAGATGAGGTGGTATATATGTGCGTGTGCACTGGACTATCACTCAGCCATTAAAAAGAACAAAATAATTCCATTTGCCGTAAATGGACGGACCTAGAGGTTAAGGTCCATCTTAGCGAAGTAAATCAGAAAGAGAAAGACAAATACTGGGTGATATCACTTATACATGGAATTTTAAAATGTGACATAAATGAATATATCTATGAAACAGAAACAGACTCATAGATAACAGACTTGCAGTTGCCAAGGGGGAGGGAGGTTGGGAAGGGAAGGATAGGGAGCTTGGGATTAATAGATGCAAACTACTGTATACAGGATGGATAAATAACAGGGTCTTACTTAGAGCACAAGGAAATATCCTGTCTATCCTGTGATAAACCATAATGGAAAAGGATATTAAAAAGAATATTTGTACATATATATGTACAGCAGAAATTGAACACAACATTGTAAATCAACTATATTTCAATAAAAATTTTTAAAACTTATTCATGTTAAAACACACACACACACACCCCAATGGACTTGAGAGAGGCTCAAAAACAACTTCATCTATTTCACAATTCTGTCTAGGCTGACCCTGACCTTGTCCCACCAAGACAACATTGTGCTACCTTAAGCATTTTTACCTTTTAAAATACACTGAGGCAAATATTACCCATGGGGATGCTACCAACCTGATTTGCTGACAGCTTCATTTGGTTCTACAGTTAACTGCAGAGGGGCTTCTTTCTTCCTTGAAGAAACTGGACCTGACTTTGGATGTGATTTCTGGCTCTGAGTCTAAAAGAGATACAGCATTAGATCTACTCTATTTAATTACCAATTTTGATTAAATATATTTGTTTTTAAACTGAAAAAAAAATTTTTTAAACATGAAATGAGCTGGTAAAGTTGTATACTTAAATAACTCCATAGAAACCAAATTCATATAACCTATCATAAAAACAATGAATAGCTTTTAAAAACCTAAAGAAGATTAGATAAATAAATTGCCATATAGGCATTTAACATCACAAATACAAAAGAAATGAATAAACTAAAGGAACATGAATGATTACGTTAAACAAACAAAAAAGCAAGGTGCAGAAGACTGAGATCAGAGACATGTGACAAAACCGAAGGTAAAAGTAACACACTGAAAATAGAGACATTAAGTAGAAGTATTCAAAATGCAGCTTCCTCCTTGCCCCCACTAGTCTGAGAACACTCACTGTTAAAATCAGACACCCAAGCAGGAGAGATTTCTTTGTCAGAAAAACTTTTCAAGTCAGAGAAGAAAGCCTGGAGATACTAACAAGAAGCTTTTCACAATGACATGGCCCATACAGATCACACTACAGCAAAATCTAACAATGTACAACTCTTAAGTATGCAAAATTTCCAATTACCATTTTCGTTTTACATTCGTGAAAGTGAGGAGACCAATAACGATCACTGGAACATTTGGCAAAGGTTCTAGTGTAAGCATGTGACTCAGATGGTAAAGAATCTGCCAGCAATGCAGGAGACCCAAGTTCAATCCCTGAGTCAGGAAGACCCCCTAAAGGGAATGGCTACCCAATCCTGACCTTGTCCCACCAAGACAACATATGTGCTACCTTAAGCATTTTTACCTTTTAAAATATACCGAGGCAAATACTACCCACGGACAGAGAATTCCATAGACAGAGGAGTCTGGTGGGATATAGTCCATGGAGTTGCAGAGTAGGGCCCAAATGAGCAACTACCACACACAATGGATAATGTTAAATTAAAATTCTCTCTCCAAACTAGGGCTTCTCATGTGGTGCAGTGGTAAAGAACCCACCTGCCAATGCAGGAGATGCAGGTTTGATCCTTGGTCCGGAAAGATTCCCTGGAGAAGAAAATGGCAACCCACCCCAGTGTTCTTGCCAGGAGAATCCCATGGACAAAGGAGCCTGGCGGGCTACAGTCCATGGGGTCACAAAGTGTCAGACATGACGTAGTGATTAAACAAGAACAAAGTTATCCATTTGGGAAACCTCCAGGATCCAACAAGTCATGCCATTCCTGCACAAGTGTCAAAAGCTCCGCTTTCCCTCAGTGGACTCACTGTTTGGGCCAATCTAAATAAAATCTTCAGCTTTTGCCCAAAATCAGCAATACTCTCAGGGAAGAAAATGACTAACAATCATCAACCCTTATTCTAAGGATTTCACTCTTTTTTTTAGTTCATCTAGTACTTGTTGCTTCCACAACTCTCATGTCTCTAAAAAACATGAGGTTTTTTGCATGTTATTCTTTTGTTAAACTAGCTGTTGCAGCAGAAGCACTGACCTACTGCAATCTGTTACATCCTACCTGAAAGCAGAACCTCTACCCTTGGTATCAAAGCCCCACAAGAACATTTTGAGAAAAGAAAATATTGTTCATGAACATAGATGCAATCATCTTAAAGTATTAGCAAACCAAATCAGAACTGGTTAATACTTCATGACCAAGCCAAGATTATCCCAGGAAACTTAGCTGATTTAACTTTCAAAAATTAATATCATTTATCACATTAAAAAAAGTCTCTCAATGATGACCACAATGGATGTCTTCATTCCTTGGAACCAAAAGGCTTTATGTGGTTAATTATTTGTTTATATAAGTTTCTAGTGAATGTTATTTCTGGCATTACAGGTATTCCTCTCAGATACTGTAAATTCAGTTTCAGACCACCCCAATAAAGCAAGTACTACAACAAAGCAAGGCACATGAATTTTTTGATTTCCCAGTGTATATAAAAACTATGTTTCCACTAAACCATAGTACAGTAAGTGTGCAATAGCATTATGTCTAAAAAAATGTGCATACCTTAATTAAAAAATATTTATTGCTAAAAAATGTTAACCACTGTCTGAGCCTTCTAGAAGTCATAATTTTTTTTGCAATAGTAACTTCAAACATCTCTGATCACAGATCATAACAAATGTAATAATAATAAAAATGTTTCATATATAGTGAGAATTACCAAAACATGACACTAGAAACATGAAGCAAACAAATGCTGTCAGAAAAAAACAGCGCTGAAAGACTGGCTTGACAGAGGGTTGCCACAAACCTTCAATTTGTAAAAAGTGCACTATCTGTGAAGGGCAACAGGCAAAGCACAATATATGATGTATGTCTATATATAATTTTTCTCTTCAATTACTACTGTGCTTTTGAATAATTTGTCCTCAATCATTAGCTTCAAAATCTCTATTTCAAAGGTGGCTATTTTGTAGAGTTAAGTTAACGTATCCCTCTTAGGATACATAATCAACAAAAGACTGATTTCCCTGTTCAGCAATAAACTGCCTTCAATAAGAGTGAAAAATAATTGTATTATAATTTGATTATTCTAATTCCCAGACCTCCAATTTCAACCACAGGAAATGTAGGACCAAAATTTTCATAAAATATCTCTAAATTTCATGTAAACTCAATGGAAATATAGGATTGCTTTTAAAGAATAAGACTTACAAACAACTAAAATGTATCTAATTTTGTGTATTGAGCTTTACTCATTAAGCTCCCCTTTTTGACTTACCTCTTTGCTTGATGACTGAATACAAATATCTTTTGTTTTAGGTGTTGAATAAGGCACTGATTTTGTGGCATTTTTGCTAAAATCATTGGCAACACCTAAAAGGTAAAAAAAAATTTAAACGTATAAAAATTTTTGGTTACAATTAAAAGAAGCCCTATATGATACATGAAGAATTCTTTTGATTCTTTTAAGCACAATTAGTTTAACTGAAGTACAAACACAATTCAATATTCAAATGTACCTAGAAGGCATCAGGAACTGAAAAAAAGACAGACAAGATTCCCCAAGGAGTACGTGCCAACTCATCTTTCAGAACTTAAAAAGAAGAGATACTTTTCCACTTTGTGTGCCTTTCTTTGGTTGTCTTTTTTTGGTTTTGTTTGTTTGTTTTTGTTGGCTTTTATTCCTTCTGATACTGATCAGCACTTAGAAAAGTTTTCTAAAAGAAAACTTGCCATAATATATCTTTTCTTTAGGAAGGGGTACAAATTACTAAATGTTATTTCAAGCTCTTCAGAGATCTTAAGAATTCTGCACATTCAGTTCCATTATTAAGATAACTTCCTCTAGTGTATGATAATTATTTACAGAATTCCAGACTATAGGAATCTAGTGTGAACTAAATGGAATAACAAATTATTCTCGTTTTTGCCAGTATTATCTTCAGTATGGAGAAGCAAATGGCAACCCACGCCAGTATTCCTGCTGTGAAAACCCCATGGATGGAGAAGCCTTGTGGGCTATAGTCCATGGGGTCGCAAACAGTTGGATATGACTGAGCAACTAACACACATCTTCAGTATACCAGAAGGTACATGAAGGACTGCACATGTACTTAAAACTCCTGGGAAAATACATACTGAAATGCTGGAACATATTTGCTAAATTTGATGTCAATGGACAAATTTATATTTCAGCCATCCCAATCCTCAAAGTGAAACCTTACTTTTTTCTTCAAAACAGTCTAGTAAGACTTCCAGTATATTCTTGCCTTGTTCCGTATTAATGTCAGGTGCCCTACTAAGAAACAAAGAAGGGAAAATGTTAATGTATCATTTCTAAAAGATATTTGCTAATTATTAATATCTATCTTGAAAATTCTGTATCTCCTTATTACAAAATACTAATTTTTACTTAGTAAGAAAAATATCACCATTAAAATCTGAGGATAAAACAAGTATTTGAGAGACCAAGAGCTCTCAAAAAGTATATGATGCAGTATGTTATTGTCTACATTAACAATTATATTCCCTAATTGAACAGCCATGTCTAAAGCTGTTTTAGACTACTGCTATACCTAAAAAAGAACATAAAACTGTTTTGAACAAATTCAATCATTCCTGAAATGCTTCTTTAATAAAGACTCTATAGTCGCAGCTCCAAGTAACACAGTCTTCCCTACATTTCAAATGCACTTTTGATTCAATTTATAAAGAAAGCTGAGCATCGAAGAATTGATGCTTTTGAACTGCGGTGTTGGAGAAGACTCTTGAGAGTCCTTTGGACTGCAAGGAGATCCAACCAGTCCATCCTAAAGGAGATAAGTCCTGGGTGTTCATTGGAAGGACTGATGTTGAAGCTGAAACTTCAATACTTTGGCCACCTGATGCAAAGAGCTGACTCACTGAAAAAGACCCTGATGCTGGGAAAGATTGAGGGCAGGAGGAGAAGGGGACAACAGAGGATGAGATGGTTGGATGGCATCATCAACTCGATGGACATGGGTTTGGGTGAACTCCGGGAGTTGGTGATGGGACAGGGAGGTCTGGCGTGCTGCGGTTCATGGAGTTGCAAAGAGTAGTACACGACTGAGTGAATGACCTGAACTGAACTGAACCCTTAATCTTAAGGAACTAATGAATCAATACAATTTAATTAAAAATTGTAATTTTAGATTCACATGCAATTGTAAAAATAATATAAAAGAGATCCCTTGTTCACTTTATCCAGTTTTCTTCAATGGTAACATTTCACAAAATAATACAATATATTATCAAAACCATGATATGGATATTGAAAAAAATCACCAATTTTATTCAGATTTTTCCAGTTCTACATGTACTCATTTGCATGTTTGTTTGTGTATGTATTTAGTTCTATACACTTTATCATATTTGAAGATTCACTTATGACCACAATAGTCAAGGTGCTGAACAGTTCCATCACCACAAAGATCCTTCTATTGCCCTTTAGGGTCACACCCACCTTTTCTTTTTCTTAGCCCCACAGAATAAACTGCATCTTTCTGTTAGTACCATTCAAAGTGTAGAGTGCTTTATCCATAGCTGTCATTTAGTCAGAACTGAAACTGCCTCTTCCTGATCCATCACTCATCAGGCGAATTTCTTTTATGACTGCTATTTAGCCAATGCATTGTTTGCACTAATATTTCTCTATTAATATAAAATAACTAAGATGACTATACTTAACCAATGAACATATAAATCATTATTTTAGTCAGGGGTAATAGTTTTTCCTTTCTTCATTTAAAAATTCCACTTTCTAAAGATGGAAATAAAAATTATCTTAAAAGCTTAAGTATACAGATTACCTGGAAGGTCGGCAAAATCTTCTTCTGTAGTCATTTTTGAGATGATCCTGAAAGACAAGTAAATCATCAGTTTGGTGAAAAGTTAAGTTCTTCATTTATTCATTCAGCAAGTATTTGCTGATTGCCTACTATAATACTATAAAGAGGAATTCTTCTGGATCAAGTGAAAAACAACTTGGCTCACATTCACTGTTTCCAAACCTTTTTTATATTATTTCCTTACCCTGGATTCTTTTCATCGTCTTCTTCCTCTTCCTACTCCTCCATCTCCCCCTACACCTCTTCCATCATCAATATCATACTATCTGGGCTTCCAGTAACTCAAGTTAGTCCATCAACAGTATCTATTTATCTTCTTTCCCTGTAGGTCAATCCCTCTAAATAACAGTAAAGAATAGACGGGCATAAAATGACAATGAAAAAGAGAATGGAACAGAGGACCATCTGCAGACAAACACAAATAACAAACTTCTGAAAGATGGAAACAAATGAAACATGATAATTGATGAGACAGAATAAAAGAAGCAGCCTAAAGTAAGCTCAGAGGATACTGTCCTGTATGAGGAGTGAATGACCAACATAATGAAAATGCAAGAAGTCATATCTAGGAAACTAAGAGTGAAATATCAGAAAAACTGAGGATTAAAAAGTGCTAGAAAGTCTCCAAATGAGAAATTAGGTAACCCCAAAAAAGAAGAGGGATTTATTACATGGCGCTAGTGGTAAAGAACCTGCCTGCCAATACAGGAGACGTAAGAGACGCAGGTTCAATCTCAGGGTCAGGAAGATCCCCTGGAGAAGGGCATGGCAACCCACTCCCAATATTCTTGCCTGGAAAATTTCAGGGACAGAGAAGCCTGGCGGGGTACAGTCCATAACATCACAAAGGGTCAGACATGACTGAAATGACTTAGCAACAAAGAAGGAGCCCCTATCAATGGAAATGACAGGAAAAAAATAAAACACATGGACATGTGGAAAGTGGAAGTGGAAAACATATTTGTGATAATCTGGGTCCTATCTTTTAAGTATAAAATCTATAAAGTTAACTTTTCAAGTTGAAAATTGGGTAGTAATAGGATAAACCGTATGCTTTTAAAAAATAAATAAATTATTATCAATATAAAATGCTTAGTAAGCTGTACTCTTCCTTGGCCCAATGGGATATAAATAATCCCACTTCATGTGAACACTCTCTTTACCCCACTCATGCTCTGACATTCTGACTCTCCTAATGCTCTTACACACAACTCTAGGCCACTGTAGTTTCCACTCACAGGGACTGCTACCTTGCTTCATTTTTTTTTTTTTTTGAGCTCAGATCAAGTGTAGAAACCTTCATAGTTATAAAGGTCTGTAGTAAAACCTTTTCATCACTGCTCAGAACGGATCAGCTTTTCCTAAACACACACTCCCAGCCAGCTCTCACCCACCCATCAGTTAAGTCCTCAGGTATCACTGTCACTTTCTACTGTGCGCGCGCGCGCGCACACACACATACACACACACACACACACCCCTTATTTTAAATTACCCTTTGCTTCTCAGAACTATAGAGATCATGCATCAGGCAGACTAAGGGGTCTTTCCTGATGCTCAGATTAGGCTATCTTCATCATCTTGCTTCACTTTTGAATTGAATTATTCAGAAAGATGAAGACATCTCTTAAGAGTTTAAGAAACCCGAGAGCAGAGACTTTGTCTTAAGCTAGCTTATATTCTTCCCAGAGCTTTGCCAGTGTTGTATACCACAAAAACATATTTTGTTATCTTTTTGACATGCCAAATAAATAAGACTAATATTTATGAGATAGAAGTGTTTTTCTTTCAAGAAAATTAGTGTTTCACATAGCCTGTTCATTTCAGGAGGTACCTAAGGAGCAAAAGATTAAATCTATTTTACAGATAGCAAACTAAGGAACAAAGACATCTAACGAGTCTGCATTTTATCACAAGATAGAAAATTAATGTAAGCACTTAGGTCTCTCATCAGCACTCAACACTGAAACACTTAGGCAAATCCTTGATAATTAATGTTAGTTAACTCCCTCCCAAGGTCTAATTTAAGGTCATTCTTCTTATTTAACACAAAATGAAAAAGTCATATTTTCACACCAAATGTTTCTGAACATTAAATAACACCTGTAAAGTACTCGGTTCCTCTTTTAAATAGAAAAAATTTAAGGCTAAGACAATTCATTCCTTCAGCAAATATGAATCAAGCACCTACTAGAGGGCCAAATGCTATTTTGGTGCAGTAGAAAATGAGTGGTGAACAAGACAGACAAGGTCTTTTAATTTTACACTAAAAGAATACAAAAATTATTAATTTTCAAACACTCAAAAACTTTCAATTTCAACTCATCTTCATTCAGTTTCAGATTCTTTCATTCACTGTGAGATTTTGTTTCTCAAAGAAAATAATATATCTCACAGCTGAGTTTCTCAAACCTAGCATTGACGACATTTTGGGCTGAATGACTTGTGAGGTCCTGTCCCATGCACTGGTAGGATACTTGCTGCATTCCTGGCCTCCACCCACTAGATGCCCTTATACCCCCTCCTCATCCACGCCTTTTCAAAACCAAAAATTTTCCCAGGCAACACCAAACACCTCATTCACAGCAAAATTCCACCCAGTCTGAAATCACTAAAGTACAAGAATGACTGAGGATAATCTCTCAACTCCTTTCTCCCTTTGTCTTTTAAATGAGTTATGCAAAGTCAGATATTAGAACTAAAAGGGTCAAAACAATTCTAACTTTGGGGGGACTTCCCCAGTAGTCCAGTGGTTATGACTTTGGGCTTCCAATGCAGAGGTCAGGTAGTGGATTCGATCCCTTCTCAGGGAACTAAGATCCCACATGCCACAGCTAAGGGGTGGAGGTGGAGTGAACTGTGGGAATTTACCCCCAGCCAAATCTTCTCAACAAACTTTCATAATCAAGTGATTCTTGGACAAGCAACAAAAGTAGAATCGTCCCATTCCCCAGTGGATTTGAATAAAAGCTGGTAATAAAATCAGGAGAAGAACCAAACGGAGTCTATACGGAGTCCTGCACATGAGGCGGCACACATATCTATACTGTGCCAAGGGCACCTGCATCTTACCATAGCACTCTGAAAAGTCACTACTATATGAATAGCTGGATGTGTTTTACTGGGAAAATGATTTTTGTCTTTGTGTCAGCATTTCTGCACTATTGCTTTGGCTCAGTAATAAACATGAGACTTTTTGTTGGAAAATAAAAGTGAACTGCATTCAAAAGAGTAAGACACAGCAAACTGAACCAGCAGCTGCTCTTCCAGTTTCAGTATTGTCTCTCTCTCTCCTCCTTAATCTGAGAAGCCAAGTGCAGTCAATGGGGAGGACCACTACAAGGAAAAAAAAAGAGAACTTTGAAAAGAGACACAAGGGCAATGCTTACAGAAGACTGACAAGAAAAGCGCGCAGAAGGAAAAGCAGTCAATGTGAGAACTAAGACAAGCTTCAAGCAGTCTAAACTTTCCATATTCTGAAGGGCATCATCCTAAAACTAGGAGAAATTTCTAACAGATGAGATCACAATGAGAAAAGAAGTTGTTTATTAATAATATCACTGATATTATTATTATTATTGATCATAGATTTTAAACGCACGCCAACATCAATATAAATAAAACACTGATCATGGTTTTTAAAAAAGAAAGAATGAGAAGATAAACCACAGACCAGGAGAAAATATTTGCAAAAGGCACATCTGATAAGGGCTGCTATCCAAAATATACAAAGAACACTTAAAACGCAATAAAAAGAGGGAACTCCCCTGGAGGTCCAGTGGTTAAGGTTCCAGTTTCCAATGCAGGTGTGGGTTCAATTCCTGGTCAGGGAACTAAGATCCCACATGCCTCCCAGCACCACCAACAAATAAAAATGAATGAAAGAATTTTTTATCTCCATTAAAAAACAAATGGTCCAAAGACCTTAACAGATACCTAAGAAAATATACAAATGGCAAGTAAGCTTGTGAAAAGATGCTCTACATCATATGTCAATGGGAAATGCAAACTAAAGCCAGATACCACTATATATCTGACTGTGCGTCCAAAATCTGGAAAAATGACAATGCCAATTGTGGAAAAATGGGAATTCTCATTTTGGAAGGCAAAACAGTACAGCCACTTTTTTGGTGGTTTCTTACAAAAGTAAACATACTCTTACCAAATGACCCAACAACATCGCATTTTTCTTTAGTCAACAGTACGAAAGTGTTGGTATAGAGAGTTCTTTTTACCATGAGCACATGCATTATTTACATTATATATAATTGTCAGCTGGAAAAAATGCACAACTTAAAATTTATAATTTTTATTTGGTGACCTTACTTAGGACCATGGCTCAGGAGACAGACTCTCAGAGAGAACTACTCCGAAGAGGTAAGGGAGGACCTAGGATATACAGGAGTTTGGGCTGGGGGAAAAAAGAAAAATCAAGTATCAAAACTACTACTAATCACAAAAAAAGGCACCTCAAGCTAATGATTTTAGTGCTTCTCTATATATATGCCACTTAGTGGCAGCTGCAGTTTCTGGTGGCCTGAAGGTGGGCTACATTCTGCTTACTTAAGAGGACAGCAACAATTTTTGTCCACAATAAACTTCTTTATGCATACAAGCATATATATATATATATATACACAACAATATAAATGGGAGTTCATCAATGCTAAAGATCTTAAACGGGGAGATAAAGTAGAAACTAGGAGTTTAGGATAGGGGCTGCTAAGGGTTGTATAACATATAATAACCATAACAGGCTATGGGGTCGCCAATAGTCGGATATGAGATTCAGCGGCCAAAACAACAAAACCGTAAATCTAAAGTACAGAAAAGTGAATACCAAGGAGTCCAGAAACTGTCCAATAAAAATGAGTTTCCGCCCCCTCAGTCATTCACCGCTTACACTTTTAACCAGTAGCTGCCTCTCAGAAACCTGTCAGAAACCTGCCTCTTTACACCAGCAATTCTGAAAGAAACGGGTCACTTCCAAGGCTTTCCAACACTACCAAGGACAGAAAATTATTGAGAGGACTACGAACTGAAAGCTCAGTCGCTCAGTGGTGTCCGATTCTTTGCGACCTCATGGACTGCAGTCCGCCAGTCCCCTCTGTCCAGGGGATTCTCCAGGCAAGAACACTGGAGTGTGTTGCCATGTATTACTCCAGGGAATCTTCCCCACCCAAGGATCGAACCCTCCTCTCTCATATCTCCTTGCATTGGCAGGCAGATTCTTTACCACTGAGCGACCTGCTGAATTCCTAGAACTGAAGTTAGGCTCAAAAGTAGAAATCACAAGATTCTCAGAAGAGAAAGTTACCCGTCACAAGTGGATTACAAAAAGCCTGAGGAAACACTGTAAGTAAAGTAACTCTGAATAGTGGCACCCGCTCACTTCCCAACTCAAAAACTTCGCGCAGCTTTCCATCGAAATCCTCCAGAAGCGACGACACCGGCCCGAAGCTTCATTCTCCCCGCCTCACCCGGTTCCAGGCAGGCCTGCACTTACCAGCCCCCATGCAGCCATGTTCCGGCCTGGTTCCGACCGGGAAGGGGTTTGGGGCGTAAGTCTACACGGGTCAAAGCTCTGGGCAGCCCAACGAGGATTCAGTCACCCCAAAGCCAGCCAGAAGGCAGCCAGCAGCGCCCTTAGGCGAGAGAGAGGGAGAGGGCGGGCTCCAAGAAGCCCCAAGCTAGCCAGCGCGCCCAGCCGCGCGCCGCGCACTACGCAATTTAAAACGGACTGCACATGCGCAAAAGGGGCTTGCCGACTCCGACGGAAGAAAGACGTTGTGTGCCAGCCCCTCTCCAGTACTCGCCTCTCCGCCTTTTCGTAGCCCCGCCCGCCCCACCCCGCAGCCCCACCCCTTCCTCCCAAAGACTTAATCTCTCGCTCCCACAGCTTCCTGGTCATTTTCTGGCTCACTCTCCCTCTTTCCCACTGGGAGGAGGTGTAAAACTTCTTGATGGTCACATTACACAGTAAAAAGTAATGTTTGGAAGGATACAAGGTAAAAAATTGCTGAAAACAGTTAAAGAGTAATGTTTTACTGTGCAGGTTCATTAGCCACACCCCAGCCCACTTATGCATCACCTCTGAAAGGAATAATGGTATATTAATAATGGTGATGGATGATATATTTCTCCCCCCGCCCATTACGTGGCAGGGGGGAGGGAATTATTACTATTTCTGTGAGGCAGTGCCAACTAAATGATCTATGTAAGTACATACCACTTAAGTGTGATGTCCTGAAAATCCTAAATCAGAAGCCTTGAAACCTGCTCAGTGGACTAGCTATCTCATGTATGACCAGCTCTGGCACCATTTTGGCAGGTTCCTTATTTACATAATGGGAAAGTTTACTTAGATGCTCTGAAGACTGACTAGACCTGACCATTTTATGATTCTATGACATTTTTTATGATTTAATAAAAAATGTATCAGGGAACTCAAATCAGAAAATGGATTACCTTCCCTTAGGCAAGGGAAACAAAAGCAAAAATGAATAAATGGGGCTTTATCAAGCTAAAAATATTTTGCATGGTGGAGGAAATTATCAAAAAAATGAAAAGGCCACCTATCGAAGGGGAGAAGGTATTTGCAAGTGGTACATACAATAAGGAGTAAACACCCAAAATATACAAAGCACTCATAATTTAACATCAAAAAGCTAAAGAACCCAGTTAAGAGTGAGCAGAGGAACTGAATAGGCATTTTCTGAAGAAGTAATACAGATGACTAATAGATACATTAAAAGATGTTCAACATGAAAAGGGACCCCTCCAACATTGTTGGTAGAATGTAAACTGGTACAGCCACTATGGAGAAGAGTACGGCGATTTCTTAAAAAACTAAAAATAGAGCTACCATATGATCCAACAATCACTCTCTTGGGCACATATGTGGAGAAAGTCATAATTCAAAAGGATATGTGCACCCCAATGTTTATTGCAGCTCTGTTTACAGTAGCCAAGACATGGAAGCAACCTAAATGTCCATCAAAAGAGGAATAGATAAAGGTGTGGTACATATATACAATGCAATATTACTCAGTCGTTAAAAAGATGAAATAATGCCATTTGGAGCAACATGGATGGACCTGGAAATTATCATACTATGTGAATTAAGTCAGAGAAAGACAAATATCTTATGATATCACTTATATACAGAATCTAAAAAAGAAAAAGATACAAATGAACTTATTTACGAAACAGAAACAGACTCACTTAGAAAACTAACTTATGGTTACCAGAAGGGAAGAGGGGAGCGGGGAGGGGTAGATTGGGATTTGAGGATTGACATGTACACATTGCTATATTTCAAATGGTAATCAATAAAGACCTACTGTATAGCAGAGGGATGCTGCTCAATATTCTGTAGGAACTTAAATAGGAAAAGAATTTGAAAAAGAATAGAAAAAAATTGCTCAACATCTCTAATTATCAAATTAGAAGTGCAAATCAAACCATAAAGAAAAGTCACACTTCACATGTCTGTCAGATGGCTATTATCAAAAAGACAACAAATAACATGTGTTGGCTAATATGGAGAAAAAGAAACACTTGTGCCCTGTTGGTGGCGCTGTAGGTAAGTATAGCCACTATGAAAAACAATGCAGAGGTAAATTTTAAATAGAAATATCATATGATTCAGCAATTTCATTGCTGTGTATTTAATCCAAGGAAAACAAAATTCAAAAAACACTAATTCATAAATATTTATGCACCCCTATATTCATAGCAGCACTGTTTACAACAGCCAAGATTGGACACTGCCTAAGTGTCCATCAACAGATGAAGGAATTAAGAATACTATTGGATCATAAAAAAGAATAAAATCTTTCCATTTCTGACCACATGGATGGACCTAGAGGGTAATATGCTATGTGAAATAAGTCTGACAAGAGAAAGACAAATACTGTATGATTTCACTTTTATGTTTAGTCTAAGAAACAAAAGAACAAACTTAACAAGATCAAAACAGTTTAGATACAGAGAACAAACAGGTGGTTATAGGGAGGATGGGGGAGGCAAGAAATAGGTGAGGAAGATTAAGAGGTACAAACTTCCAGTTTCAAAATAAATGAGTCACAGATACGAAATGTATAGCGTAGGGAATATAGTCAATAACTATGTAATAAAATATATTATTTATTGAATAAATTAATTGATCGAGTTGAACAAGTAATTTTTTTAAAATCTGTAATGTTTTAACAAATGTTGTTACCAGAAAACTTTTTTTTTTTGTAGGAAAGAAGCATTGAAAAATCAGACAAGTCCGAGTTTCACTCTACTTCACTAATTCTGCCATAATGAGCAAGTTAAACTGTAAGTTTCTCAATTCTCCTGTCTGTAAAATAGGAATAATGTTAAAGTTGTTGAAATCTGGATTAATTTGTTTTGAGATCTAGTTGAAATGCCTAAAACATAGCAAGAATTCAATAAATGATGTTACTGGTATTATTATGGTGCTTTTTAGACTTGGTCTAGCAGAAGTTTTGCCAACCAGACTATATTATATAATTTGGTCTCACACTTGAAATAGTAATACACACAATTATTTACTGAGTTCATACTGTATGGCAAGTTCTATCCTAAGTGTTCTCTATGCAATAACTTATTTAATTCTTAGAACATTCCTATGAGAAAAGACAGCTAATATTGACATTTTATAGTCAACAGAAATGGAACAGTCTTTAAGTAACTGCTGAAGATCACACTACCATTAAACAGTAGAGCTGGGCATGAACCCATGTGCATAACTATATAAAACTATGTGAACAGAAATGAGATCAGTGATTACCAGAGGATGATGTCATGGGGGAAGAAGACACTGACCACAGAGAGTCAGAGGGAAATTTTTGCAGTTTGGAAATAATAATTTATGTCTTGATTATAGTGGTGGTTACCTGACTATATGTATTTTTCAGAACTCTTAAAAGTGTGTTCATTTTTAAAAGCGTGAACTTTGTTGTAAATTATACCTCAATAGGGGTTTCTCTGGTCGCTCAGTGGTAAAGAATCTGCCTGCAATCTCCCCTGGAGAAGGAAATGGCAACTCACTCCAGTATTCTTGCTTGGGAAATCTCATGGACAGAGGAGCCTGGCAGGCTACAGTCACAAAAGAGTGGGACAGGACTTAGCAACTAAATAATACCTCAATAAACTTACCTTGAAAAATTAAGAACATGAGAGAGAGAGACATACAAACCAAAGGCAATGTGTGAGCTTTGATCAGAGTCTGGTTCAGATCAAAGAAGCTATATTAGAGCATTAAGCAACAGTAGAAAAGGAAAATATTGACCATTGGATGACAGAGAATTGTAAATTTTCTTAGATATTATAATGCTATTGTTAATGTAAGAGAATGTCCTTACTCCATTTGTTAAGTATATTTACTTAGGTTTTTCTGACAAAATTATTTTGAGATTCAAAGATTATTAACTTGGCAGTTAATAGAGTGTTATTAAAGTTAATTAAGTGTGCTTGCAATATGCAGTTAGATGGCAGCAATGTTCACCAATAATAATAATAATAATAATAATAATAATAATGTTATACACTATGTATTAAAGTCCTGCATTAAGCTGGTAATTTTAGAGTGCTGTATAAACTGATCCAGCATTAAGTTTCCTATGCTATTTTGGCACCAATTGTTTGATTCTTAGTTGCAATTATACTTTGTTATATATACATTGCTTCTCTTAACAAGAACATAACAAATCTTTATTCTCTAGTCTCCATTTCTGTTGCCTCCAGTTCACTTCTGGACAATATAATTCTTTTCTCATAAAACAGAGCTCTTGTAATTTAAAACACACATAGATTTTCAAAAATTTAATACAGTTCTGCATTATAATTTTAACCTTACAAAGACAAATTACTTTGATGGTACTAGGCAAAAATTTAAACAATGTACATTCATACTTGGGCTTCCTTGATGGCTCAGACGGTAAAGAATCTGCTTGCAATTCTGGAGACCTGGGTTCGAACCCTGGGTTGGGAAGATCCCCTGGAGGAGGGCATGGCAACTCACTTCAATATTGCTGCCTGGAGAATCCCCATGGACAGAGAGGCTGGTAGGCTACAGTCCATGGGGTCACGAAGAGTGGCACACGACTAAGCACTATTGGCATAAATGTGCTCTAGATACATTATTTGAACAGATCATGGGCTTCCCTGGTGGCTCAAAAGGTAAAGACTCTGCCTGCAACTCTAGGAGACCAAGGTTCGATCCCTGGGTTGGGAAGATCTCCTGGAGAAGGAAATGGCAACCCATTCCAGTATTCTTGCCTGGAAAATTCCATGGACAGAGGAGCCTGCTGGGTTACAATCCACCTGGTAGCAAAGAGTAGGCACCACTGAGCAACTTTCACTTTCACTTTGAATAGATACATTATTTGAAAAATGCAGTTTATCAAATAGCATTACGGAATTTACCTGACTATATAAATATACACAAATAGAGAAAAAGTGCCAAAAAAGTTATGATACCCATCCAAACAGTGCTAATGGTATAGATAATGGAATAATATGTAATTTTCATTGTCTTTCTTTGTGCCTTTCACTTTTGTCTAAGACTTATATAAGTTTACCTATAGTTAGAAAAAATAAGAAATTATTTTAACTATGTATAGGAAATGATATATTTGTAAACTCAAGTGCCTAAAGAAATTTTAAACAACAAAATACCAAAATTGTAGCTTGCTGGCAATAGCTAACAGTAAGAGATTTA